GATCGGGAAAAAAAAAATTGAAATCAAATAATGATTGTGACTGTGGCCCCCAAAATAGTCTACCAAACCCAATTCAACAACGAATCAAGCATAATACACCCACACTAGTCAACCCGCAGAACCTCCATCGTACAACCCCAACATACATATTTATTTCCAATTCGGAAACTGTAAAATCAATTATTCATCACAATTCTCACAAAACATACAAATAACAAAGCAGATTACGACTGAAGGTCACATAAACCCTAGTTTTGGGTTGTTAATAAAAAATCAAATAAATTAACATGAAACAGGGACAAATGCACACTTACGTTTCGAAGTCATGATTCCTGCTTCTCACTGTAAACGGTAACCGTTGTCACCTTCCCGTCGATCGTCTCCGTTGAATCAGGCCCCTTCTCCTATTCGTGGTGAGTTTTCGAAATGTATACAACTGAATCAGCCTATTTTGGGGGTTTTGAAATGTTTTCCGAATTTCAAAATTAATGTATATGGATATGATATTAACATCTACTATTAAGGGTAAATGTGTCAAGTAAATTTCCATAGGACTTATGAGGATATAAGTTTTTACTTAGGACTTAACCTATCATAAGTGTATGAAAAAAAACTTATAAATAAGTCTCCCTTAATTTTTTAACTTTTTAACTTTTTTGATGGCTTTTTTTGACAAAAAATTGGTGTCTTTTGGATAAAAAAACTGACTTTTTTGACTAAAAAAACCTAAAATATCAAAAACTGACTTTTTTAGTGTGCTCCTAAAGTGGCCCATAATAACGAATTTTTATTACAAATTTAATAATTATGAAATAAAAATGTTAATTATAATTATTTTAAAATAAAAGAAAGGTCATTACACCCAATAAAACCTCTAATCCGTCCAAATCCTAAAAACTTTAAATCTTTTTTTTTTATCTGGAAAAAAAGGATATTCTGAGGTGTCATCACTACATCCGTAGACCCATGCCAGCCTGATTTAACCCAATCCATAGGAAGGGTCCCACCACCGAGGCACCAGTGGAGCTCATCAACCGCCCTAGCCACGGACAAGTTTCGATCGGAGTACAGCGCGAGGTCTCCGAAGAGAGCCTCTGAAAAATTTAGGATTTTCATGCCCCTCAGGAGTCAGACTTGACTAATGGCTGTGGGAAGGCAATGCCTTCACCACTAGGCCACCACCCTCAGTGGTTAAAAACTTTAAATCTTCACCATAATTTCATGTAAGATTTTCATGATTTTCATTATTAGTCTTTGAAACTTTTCATTAGTCTCAGTTCTTGATATACCAAAAATTAGTCCCAGTTCTTATTTGGCCAAAAGATTTTTTTTGAGTTTAGGGATTAAATTAATTATTAAAAAATAAAGTTTATTAAAAAGTTAATAAAATATTGTATTTAAATTACATTTGCTTTATTTTTTTTCATAAAAATTAAAAAATTAATCTGAATAAACATTTTAACTCTAAATTAAGATAATTAAAAATCAAAAAATCAACTTGTTAATGTAATATTAGTGTGCCATATCTAGCTGTCCAGCTGTCCCACTAATGATAATGTTTCTGCTTTCGGTGTTAGTTAGTTAGTATCCTATGTGTACCACATTTCCTCTCTATAAATGAGAGTGTTGTAAATCACTGAAAAATCAATCAATTGAATACATACAATTCTCTATGTATTTCTCTCTTTATACATTGAATTTAACATGGTATCAGAGCTATAAGATTTAGGCCTGTATTCCTTTCTTTCCGGCAGGCAGTCGGACGGCAACCTTGCCTTCGCTGCTCGCTGGAGTTTTTCAACACATACCAGAAACTCTTCTTTCTTTGTTTCCTCATCTTCATCGTCACTAATTTCTTTCTCTGTGGTCTTCTCTGTCCAGAGGTAGATTGGGTAGCTAATGAACTCAGAGTGCCTCGTCACAAGTTCTCCAAGCACAATAATCATTTTAATCTGTGGGATGTTGTTAAACCACAGAACATGGTCAGAAAGTGTAGAGCCCGGGAACACATCTCCTCCAATCACAATACCTTCATAAATTCCGTCTGTTACACGGGCAATTGTATTGTACAGTTCATTAGACATGCCACCAGATTTGGAGACAAAACCAACAGATCCAGGCCTATACAGCTTCCATGTCCACCGCCAACGACCAGTGCTCTCAAGCCGAGTCTCTCTTCAATCTCTGCAAGCAAACACACCCCGATTCCCTCTCTCTCAAGCTCGCGCCATGTCCGCCATCCTCCTCCGCAAGCAGCTCACTCGCGACGACTCTTACATATACCCCAATCTCATACCTCGCTGTGACCTCGACATGGCCACCGGCTGGCTCTGCCCTTAGATTCTTAATCCCTCCACCGTACCTGGCGTCACCAAGTTCTTCGATCTCCCTTCGGCCTCAAGCGGCGCCGGCTCTCTGCCGAAAGAGAGCTAGAGCTCGAGAGAGGGAGTTGCCGAGACAGAGGTGCCGAGCGGTTGCTACCGTGTGTAGTGTGTTATCTGTGTGCTGGGTCTTTGCCTCCACCCTTGCTTTCTTTCTGCCCGTGCACCCCCCGAGGGACAGCCACTGCTGTGTTGTTTTTGAGAAGAGTCAGAAAACTTGCATCGAAATTCAAAAAAAAAAAAAAAAAAAAAAAAAAAAAAAAAAAAAAAAAAGAAGGAAAATAGCCACACTGCTTCTCCCTTTCTCTCCACTAGCCCACTTTAATCACATCTCATGATTCCACTCTTTATTTTGTCAGACTCCACACCCCCACATTGTGATGTCGCCAGAACCCCTCATTCATCCCATTCGAATATATCGAATATATATATATCTATATTAACCACTGCCGAACTCATCTTTCATCACTTTTGTACCCTCCTCCACTTGTATATTATTTTATTATTTTAATATTTTCAAATATCTTAGTATCATATCTCCACCCAATCACTGAGCCATACTTCCGTAGGCACTCCTCCTCATTCCACCCATAATATATATATATATATATTATACAAAAATAATAAATAATAAATAATAAATACAAAAATAAAAATCAAACATTCTCACCACTTGATTTTTTTGCATGTCCTTCCTACCATCTGGGTTTGCACAACACACTTGTTTTATTCATATCGAGGATCAACCCCGAGCACAGTTCTATAACCAAAAAAAAAACCACACAAACAAACAACCTCCCTCACATAGGAGGGATTTTTCTTTTTCCTTCTCTACTCTGCTGCAGGTCTCTTCTTCTTACTTTTATCTTGGGTGTCCCGTGCCAGCCCAGTCTCAGTGCTTTCTAATCCACCAAGCACGTTCACTCCCCCCTACTCCTCCACCGCAGCATATGGCGGACCTCCGAATCTGAACATAACGGTGGCCTTCCGCTTCAACTTCTTGTTTTCTGCCTTCCGCACACATATCTCCGCTCGCGCATCCTTATACATGGGCTGGAGCAGAGCCAGTTGGGCGTTTAATTGCTACACCTCATTTGTCCCACTCTGAAGCCGGTGCGACAAGTTTGTGACCGCAGTTACGGTCTCCATACATGACTTCAATGTATAATGATTGGTCTGAATATCCGATTGTGCTGCCATTATTTGCTCCACAAACAGCGTAGGAAAGTTCAACGGGGCAAAACTAGGGACGCTTGGTTGAGGTTCAAGGGCAACCGCATCGGTTATCTCTCTTGTGGACTCGTTGAGGTCTGGAAAGAGAGTGAGCTGACCACCGGAAGAAGAGGCCATGTTCTGGGTTGCTGAGTGTTTCAGAGAAGCAGCGATTTTAGACTGGTAATGTCAGAAAGGGTTGATTGCAGAGTGTTTCAGAATGAAGATGTTCAGAGGTTTCAAACTAGTTTGGTTTGCAACGCCTCCGCATCAGTTTATATAGACAATAACGAAGAGGACGACATGACGCTCTGTCGATCACGTGCATCGCCACGTATTCAACGCGACTTTTGATGGCTCGCTGCTCGACGATTTCTGTCAGGCACGACTTTTGATGAATTAGGCGCACCTTTTGAGGGCTCAATATATATATATATACATGTATATCTTTTGGGCAGCTTATATACACAATCATACAGTGTATTATCTACATCAGTCTGGCATGACCTCGTAAATTGTCCCGACATTGATGCCGGTTAGCTTCTACAACGGTCTGGCATGACCTCGTAAACTATCCCGACATTGATTCCGGTTAGCTTCTACAACGGTTCGACACGACCATACAGTGTCTTCTCTAACGGTTCGACACGACCATACAGTGTCTTCTACAGTGGTTCGACACGACCATACAGTGTCTCCTATCCTATTTTATTCTATTTTATTTTCTTGTTTTGTTACTCTCTCCAAATTCAAGCTGGTTGATTCCTATCCCCCTTGAGTTTGAGGGGGGCTGTTAACATGGTTATTAAAATCGCGATCCGGATCGTAGAATCGTACGATCCTACGATCCTACTTTGCCAAAACGATCCAGATCGTTGTAGGATCGATGTTATAACAGGATCGCAAGTAGGATCGTGTAGGATCGCATGGGATTGTGTAGGATCGTATGGGATCGTATAGGATCGTAGGTAGGATCACAAGTGGGATCGTAGATTTTATGATTTTTCACCTTATTTTTAATATGTATTATTTTAATTTTAATTTTTATCTTTTTTTTAATAAAAAGTAGGATCTTATGATCCTCGATCCGATCCTACGATCTGATCCACCAGACCCTCTCACCGATCCTACTTAGGATTTCGATTTTAACAACCTTGGCTGTTAATGTAATATTAGTGTGCCATATCTAACTGTCTAGCTGTCCCACTAATCATAATGTTTCTGCTTTCGGTGTTAGTTAATTAGTATCTTATGTATACCACATTTCTTCTCTATAAATGAGTGTTGTAAATTATTGAAAAATCAATTAATTGAATACAAACAATCCTCTCCGTACATTGAATTTAACACAACATACTTTCCCAACGCCTATATAATCCCAACCAAAACAACCAAGTACTTGTGTTTCAGTAAAACAAAAAAATTACCCTTTACTTTAGGATTAGCGGCCATGGAGTTCTTCCTTTCATTCATGACTGCTGCGGTGGCCATATTTGCCTTTCTTCTTTTTCTTTATTATGCTGTGCGCATGGTAAGCAGTGGACAAAGAGACAGCACTGGTAAGGGAAGAGAAGCACCGGAAGCTGCCGGTGCATGGCCTTTGATGGGCCACCTCCATTTGTTGGGAGGACCCGAACTGCCATACAAGATACTAGGAGCCATGGCCGACAAGTACGGACCGGTCTTCACTATCCGGCTAGGAGTTCACCGAGCCCTGGTGGTGAGTAATTCGGAGATGGTAAAGGAGTGCTTCACCACCAATGACAAAGCCTTCTCCAATCGCCCAAAAAGCATAGCAGTGGAGCACATGTGCTACAACTATGCCATGTTCGGCTTTAGCCCTTACGGTCCATACTGGCGCGAAATGCACAAGATTACCACCCTTGAGCTTCTCTCCAACCACCGCCTCGCCACGTTCAACCACATCCGTGAATCTGAGGTGAAGGCATCGATTAAAAACATTTATGAGCAATGGGTGAAGAAAAACAACAGCACAAGTGCTTCAAATTATAAGGTACCGGTGGTGGTGGAGATGAAGAGATGGTTTGGGGACATAAACTTAAACTTGATTTTTAGGATTGTTGCGGGGAAGCGGTTTGTGGAGGGAGACACGGCGGAGGGTGAGAGGTGCCGGAAGTCGTTAAGGGATTTTTTCGAGCTGATGGGGGTGTTTACGGTGGCAGATACGGTTCCATTCTTGAGGTGGTTGGATTTGGGGGGTTATGAGAAGGCCATGAAGAAGACAGCCAAGGAACTAGACTGTGTGCTTCAAGGGTGGTTGGAGGAACACAAGCATAAAAGAATTTCCGGCGAGGCCAAGGCTGAGCAAGACTTCATGGACGTGTTGCTGTCCGTTCTCGATGATGGTGTCACCCAGGAGGGCCCCAAATTTGATGCTGATACAATCAACAAAGCTACTTGTCTGGTAGGTGTTTCATGACAAAGTTATTCTGAATTTAGTTGTATTGCTTAAATTTAAATTTTAATAAACCTAATATACACGTTTTAAATTGGAAAAAATTCTCAACAAGTTTTATCTAATATACACATTTTCGTTTCATGAAAGGGTTTGTAAATTTTCAAAGTTCAAATCTTCGAAGTTTAAATTAAATGGTGAGTAAAACCGTCAAAAAAAAAAATAAAAAATAAAAAATAAAAAATAAAAAAATAGCAACAGATTTATCGTGAGATAGAAGGAGAAAAGAGAGATTGGCATCATGAGACAAATAGCAACTGATTTACAGATGAGATGAGATATTGATATTTAGAAGACAATAAGGTGAGAGAAATAAAAGGGTTTTACAGAGCTAGACGAATGTAAAAGTGAGTAAGAGACGAAGCCTGTTTGGCAAGTGGGTTTGCAGGTTTTTTTGATTATTTTAGTCACAAAAAATAAAATAAGTTATTTTAGTCATAATAAATAAAACATCACATCCAACCTATAATTATTACATTCTTCTCTCACAAAAAAACTTAAAAAAATCAAAAAGTCAAAAAATCCTTCTCAAACCAAGCTTTTAAGCCTAGACTAAAATAGTTAAAAAAACCAAAAAAATCAAAAAATTAAAAAACTAACTCACTTCCCAAACGGAGGCAAAGTGGGAGAGAAACAAAAAGGGTTAGAGAGAGAGGGGTGGAGTCAGAATGGTAGGTTGGAGAGGTGCAAGGATCCTCTTCTCAAATAATCCTGTTTTTTTTTTTTTTATATATTTAAAGATTTTCACATTTTAAAATTTTTATATAATTTAATAATTATAAATAAATTGAGATAAGAAGCAAGGTGGAAAAAAAAAAATATAATACAGTTTGTCACCCCACAGGATCCAATGTACTTTCCCAAAAATATTTAGAGATGGGAATCCGTGCTAGATAGACAAAACATGAGAGAGGAACCCAAGGGTCAGAGAGACAGAGAGAGAAAAGAGTTTGAGAGCCACAAGTCATAGGTGTGGAAAAGTGAAGGCACAGGTCATCTTTTCAATCTTGGAAATCGGGAGTACTTGTTCCGTGTCAAAATACACTTGTTAGATTTTTGTTTTTTTGTTTTTGTTTTTGAACATCTAAAAAAAAACTTGCTTGTTTTTATTTTTCAAAAAAATATTTTTCAGAAAATTTTATTTTTTATTTTTATTTTTTTTTTGTTTTTACTAAATTTTTTTAATATTTTAAGTAATTTTTTTATTTTTTAGATACACCTAACATAAATATACCTAAAAAGTAAAAAAATTGTAAATTTTTTTTTTTAAAAAAATTCAGTAAATACCAAAAATATAAAAAAACAAAAATTCAGTACATTTTTTATATTTTCATGTATTTATTAATTTTTTAAAATATTTTTTCACAAATTTTTTACATTTTAGATACATCTAAATAAGGTGCATCTAAAAAAGTAAAAAAATGCTTAAAATTTGAAAAATATTCACTAAAAACAAAAAAATAAAAAATAAAAAACTCAATTTTTTAAAAATGTAATCCAAAAAACTCAAACCAAACACACATTATTTTTCTTAAAGAACTTTTAACAATTTTAAATACTAAAAATATAAAAAAAAATACCAGAATTCAGTACATTTTTTTATATATATTTTTATGTATTTATTAATTTTTTAAAATAATTTTCACAATTTTTTATTTTTTAGATACATTTAAGTAAAGTACATCTAAAAAAATTTAAAAAAAATGTTTAAAATTTTAAAAATGTTCACTAAAAACAAAAAAATATGAAAATAAAAAAATTCAATTTTTTTAAAAAAAATTAATCCAAAAAACTCAAACCAAACACACTGAATTGTTTTTAAAAAATTTAATTTTTTAAAAATATAATTATTACATTTTAAAAATATTCAGTGTGTTTGGTTTCAGTTTTTTGAATTCAATTGTTTTTAAAAAATTTAATTTTTGAAAAATATAATTATTACATTTTAAAAATAATCAGTGTGTTTGGTTTCAGTTTTCTGAATTCAATTTTCTATAAACTGAATTTTTTTCCGTATTTTTTAGTTTTTAGTTAATATTTTTAAAATTTTAATTAATTTTTTCTTATTTTTAGATGCACCTTATTTAAATATATCTAAATAGCAAAATATATGTGAAAAAATATTTTAAAAAATTAATAAATACACAAAAATACAAAAATTGTACCAAATTTTCATATTTTTTTTATATATAGTGTATTTTTAAAATATTTTTTCACAAATATTATACTTTTTAAGTGTATTTATGTTAGGTGTATCTAAAAATTTTTTTAAAAAAATTGCTTAAAGTATTAAAAAAATTCATTGAAAATATTAAAATACGAAAAATAAAAATATAAAATATTCTGAAAACTGTTTTTTAAAAATTAGAACCAAACAAGTTGATTAACTTTTTAAAATCATTATTTGATAATATGTTTTTTAAAAAATATCAGTTGTCATAATTATACATTGAGTAATGTTAGAGGTTTTAAAAGTTTTATCAAAATTTTTACTAAATATCTCACATAGGTATGAGGCCCACACCAGGTGCGTCCCACGTGAGTTCCACACCTATGTCAGATATTTGGTAGAAATTTTAATAAATTTTTTGAAATTTCTAATATTTTTGTTATACTATTTGTGCTGTTAATAAATTTAAAAGAAGGGTAAAATAAAAAATTCATATTATTTTAGTCATTGATTTTCGAAAAGAGACTAATATTTTGAGATAAAAAAATGAAATAAGAGATATTATTTTGAGACGGAGGGAATATATTTTATCAAAAGCAACAGGAAATCTATAAATTCATAATATTATATAATAACCTGTATATATTAGCCAGGTCGATTTTAATAATTTATTACATACAAAATCTGAAACTCAACCAAAATCTGAAATTTAATCATGGCATTGGGTTGATACTGACCGTGTAACTCTCGAAATAGTGCTCTCGAAATAGTTCGTATCTGACTTGGGTCTATTAGATTGGGTCCGTTTGAGTGGGTGATTCGATTATATGTATAGACCTATGGAACATAACCAAGTAACCGTTGAACATGATCGTCACATGGCTATATCCCAGCTTCTCAAATGGAGTCTGTGTTGAATATTGGCTACAGATTCTGGCCATGTGATGGAAAATGGCAGCCAGCTACATGGTGGGGAAGCCATGAGGCCATGTGAGTTGGCCATGAGGTCATGAGAAGCCATGTGAAGCATCAATCTGGAAAGCCACCGAAAGCACAACAATGGGCTGGCAGCCAGCTCATTTCAAAGACTTTCTCTTGCATTTGTAATCTCTATATATAGAGAAGCTAAAGAGAGTTGAGAGGTACATCTGAGATAACAGAGAGGTGTGAGCTTAGAGAGCAAAGAGAGAGAGAGAATTACAGAGAGTGTTGTAATTCTTACCATTTTGTTCAATATAGTAAATCCGCTGCCCGTGGACGTAGGCGACTTGCCGAACCACGTTAAATCTTGTGTGTTATTGCTTGTTTGAGTTCCCTGGTGTGCCCCCGATCCGCAACAATTGGTATCAGAGCTCGTGTTGCGAAAAATCGAATTTTTCCCGGAAGTGCCCAGATTTCGAAGTGCCCAAAATCCACTTTTGACCATACCAGGAGGAAGAACTCCCCGAGAGGAGTCCAGAACAGCAAAAACAGAGCCCAGAGGAGCTTCGACGCGCCTACAGATTCTGGAGGTCACCCCATGTGAAAGGGGTGATCCTCATGTCAACAATGGAAGGCAACCAACCAAGGCAACCAACCAAGTCAAGCTTGGTGGCCACCAACCATGTCAAAAGTCAAGAATGAAGGCTCTCCCACCTACTCCTTTGTGTATAAATAGAGACGGGAGGGAGAGGATATAGAGCATTAGATTTGGAGCTGAGAGGTGTGAGTTGAGAGCAAAGAGAGAGAGAATTACAGCGAGTGTGTAATTCTTACCATTTTGTTCAATATAGTGAATCCGCTGCCCGTGGACGTAGGCGACTTGCCGAACCACGTTAAAACTCTTGTGTTATTGTTTGTTTGAGTTCCCTGGTGTGCCCCCGATCCTCAACAATTGGTATCAGAGCAACCCGCTGCCCGTGGACGTAGGCGACATGCCGAACCACGTTAAATCTTGTGTGTTATTGCTTGTTTGAGTTCCCTGGTGTGCCCCCGATCAGCAACATTTCCAACCAGGTTTTGCTACTTTTTTACTCATCTTGTATCTGGCAGCTAGCAGGAGAAGTCAATAATGGCATCTCATCTTTATGTTGGTGTAAGTCCATTGTGCATTGTATTGCGAAGAAGCTTTGGAAGGCGCTGGAAGATAAGTTCATGACAAAGAGCATTGAGAACCGGCTCTACTTGAGGAAGAGGTTGTTTCGTTTCGACTACATTAAAGGTATTTCGATGAACGAACACCTAAATAACTTCAACAAAATTATTACGGATTTGAAGAATTTGGATGATGACGTTGGTGATGAAGACAAAGCACTGTTATTGTTAAATTCCTTGCCTGACTCGTATGATCATCTCGCTACTACTTTACTGTACGGTAAAGAGAAGATCAAGTATATTGATGTTGCAAACGCCTTGGTGAACAATGAGTTCAGAAGGAAAGATAAGTCTGCAAACAGGGACTCAACATCCGAGGCATTACCAGTCAGAGGCAGAACAAATAACAGAAGAAATACAGGGCGAGGAAAGTCTCGCTCAAAATCCAGGGGGAAACCTTCAGACAAAAGACGTCTTGTAAAAGACGAGTGTGCAGCTTGTCGCGAGAAGGGACATTGGGCAAAAGATTGTCCAAATAAAGACAAGACAGAAGAGAAGGTGAATGTTGCACGAGATGGAGATAATGATGAAGGAGGAGCCTTCACAGTTTCATCATATGGCCAGTCGGATGAATGGATAATAGATTCCGGATGTTCATTCCATATGTGTCCTAACAAGCAGTGGTTCTTGAGCTTACGAGAGTTCG